TACTTTATGGGTTTGGATAACCCTCGGTGAAAGTCAGTCAACTATTGAACTAGAAATGTCAGTTCTTCAAAGGACCAGCCAGTGGAGCTGTAACTGTTTTACTGTGTGCCAAACCAGCATCGTGAGGTACAAAGTGAAGAGACCTGTCCATGGGTTCTGGCTCCATGGAAACATCTAGGCCAAATTAGAAAAGCTGCAGGCAGGAAAGGGAAAAAATAAAGAATGGAGAGGCAGAAGAGAAAGGGTAACTAGAAGAACAAGCAAACTGCAACTTAAGCTGGGGCAGGGTTCTGCCTAATGCCAACAGGTTAACGATAGAGTATAGAACAAAATATATGATAGAGTATAGAACAAAACTGATTTCCTGACAGTGCTGTAGGCAGCACTCAATTCCAGCCACCCCACTGACATCTTTCATAGAACTGCTTGTCTAAGAGCTTTTGAGTCTTGTGGAGTGAATTTTACTGGCCCTCTGAGTACTTTCTTTTTTTAAACAATAAATGAAACCTGAGAAGGTTGAGAAGAATTCCACCTTCAGTAGCACAAGTAAGACTGAAATGTCATCTTTTCTGTGATTGCAAAGCTGTTGGAGAGGAACTGGCACAGAGTAAAGAAGTGTGCAGCTGAAAGGTCTCCAAAAGCACCTTGTATCTGGGCATAAACTAGGGCTGGACTTCAGACATGCCTTTCCCCACGTCTGTTGCAGTGTCAAGCTGAGAATTACTGTAGTTGTCTACAAATACAAAGAAGACTGAGATTAGAAGTCCAAAGAGACCAATGACTGCTGCTGTCCCAAGGCTCAAGACGTGTTTTCAGAATTCATTCACAAGATCCCAGGTGTCCTGCTGTATTTCCTTTGGAGTTAGGTTAATTAAAACTCCTGATGTGCTCATGATTTTGACATTCTAAACATCCTGGAAAGTTATTTCTTACGGATAAAGCTTAGGAAAGGATTTTCCTAAACTCTTTCACAGATTGGAAGTGAATAGGCCTGGGAAAAGCAGAACAACTGGGAAAATCTTTGGAGTAAGGAAGACAAAAAAAGCTAGGAAAATTATGCTGAAAGAAAAACAGAAGACAGAAACACACCATACAAAAGCTATGAGCACAACTTTTGCATTTGAACTGGAGAGGCAGAGCAAAGCATCTGAATCTTGAGATCTGTATAATCAATCTGCTTTCTATTTCTCCTTTCCAGTTCTCATCTGGCATATGGTACATCATCCCTACCTGGATGGTTTTGAGTAAAATGTACTTCTCTATTAATACACAAGTATATTTTTCTCACCAGGAAGAGGCCATAGTGTATAATAGACCGCCTGCATGCAGAGCAACTTTTATATATATTATATATATATATATATATATTAACAGACTTATTACACATCTATTATGTTAGTGAATCTGAAAAGAAAGTTTCTACACAGGTGCTGTTGCAGGTAAATAACACCTTTCCTTTCCTGGGATTTAGAAGAAGAAAATGTCAAATAAACTATTTTATTGCTATAGAAAAATAATGTTACATTATATTAATTATTGAGGATATAAGGTCAAATATTTAAGAGCAAGCACATATTTATCAACTGGTCTGCAAGAAAGAGAACATCTGTATGTCATAGGAAAAATCAGAAGCATTAAAATCAGGACCCATTACATCATCTAATGTGACTCCAGTTGCACTAAAGATAATTTCCCAACGATTTGAATGTCATCATAGGTATGGACCAAAATGACAGATCTTTCTGAGAGAAGCTGGTTAGTTTGTGGGAAATTTTCATACTAATGCATATACAATGCAACATGAAAACAGAATTCTTGTCACTGAAACTGTTAAAGAAGTACTTTTTGTAAAGGAGTGACTGACATTTCTTACTATAAAAATCTCGACTTTGATGCCTTCTGCAAGAAGCAAGCACTTCAAACTCTGTGACTCTCTTTCCCAATTTAAAAACCAAACATTTGTACAAGTTTTCAAGACTTGTTATTCTTTATTTTTTAAAAATAGGCTTATTAATTCAGTTCCATTCCAAAAGATTAAGGCATACGGTAGGATGGTAGGAGAGTGAAAAAGCAAATTATTAATTGTATGTTGCAGTCATACAGAGATCCTGCTAATTGCAAACCAATGTTTCAATTTTAAATAAACTGGTCATTTTTTTCGACTTGCTAATATAATCCTTTCCTGTAAAACATGTCTTCTGTCTTTTCTGTGGAAGTGGAATTTAGAATTGTTCCTACTTGGAAGGAAGGAAGAAGAATCTACAGATAAATTTTAATTGAACATAAATTTTTAGCATCTAAGCCACCACAGCATTTGTTTTAATCATATTCAGTTTATGTGCTACGGAAACACTTCATGAGAAAAAAACTGCTTTTGGGGCATGCAATGTTATTAAGATTTAAATATCTTAATGCTTTTATGAAGTGTTGTAATTTCCCTTAATTCATGGATTTAAAACTTCTATTAGGACTTGAAATATTTTCCCACATTAAAAGAAAAAATTTACTCTAATTTTAATGGGAACGTTTTTTGCTACATATTCCAATGGATTTCCTCTCCTTAGAATTACTTTAAACTGACATATGTATTTTCTTTCTGTGATTTTTTGCATGAAATCTATGCTCTGCCATGTTTTATTTTGCTCTGCTATTTCTTGTTCACTTATTTCATATATAGATACATATTAATAAAAAGAGGAACCTGGGACACTTTTCTGGTTTGAATGCTGGTTTTGGGTTTTTTTCCTAACAGAACTTGAAGAATCAGAAAAAAAAAAATTTACAGATATTATTAAATAATACCTGAAAAAAAAAATCTTAGCCATCAATTAATAGGAGTTAATTCCTACCACATGGCATACTTGCAGCATTACTGAAATGATAGAGGTTTTAAATTCTATAGAGGTTTCTGGAAAAAAAGCTAATAGGCTAATACAGTAGTGGATATACTATGCCATCTTAAATTGTTGATCTGAATTCAACTAGAACACACTGGGTTGTAAACAAATGGCATGTGTTTGGCTGTGTCACGCTGTGCAAAGAACATACAGCCTAGAAGGCATCAAACAGGGTGCCAAATACCAACAAAATAAAAAATCAGCTACACACAGCCTAGGAGGAACTACCACAGTGGCATCAAATAGGGTGCCAAATACCAACAAAATTAAAAATCAGCTACATACCTTAAATCTGCTTTTCCACAACTGTCCGAAGGATTCCAAAGAAAGGCTAATATATCTAGTTATGTACTCAAGAACATGTAGAGTGAAGAGTAAAAACTTACTGTGATCCAATGAAGTGTTCCAAAATGAAGTTTAAACCAACCACAACCAAAAGACAACTGACTTTTAAAACCTAGGAAAATGAACTTGTTCCCACTGAAATGCATGGCAAGTTTCCATTGATATGTTTTGTAGGAATGATCTTTAGTACTGCTGTTTAATGCCTAATCCATATTACTGTTATTTTTTTGCACAATTCAACTTGGAATGCAGCAGTGTGATATGAAAAGGGATTTTTGTTTGCAAACTTGGAATGAAATCTGGCTTGGACTAGATTGCATAATAAAGAAGCCAGCAAAAAGGAATTTGACACTCACCATTCTGGCAGAACTCAAGTTTCTCAAAACAAAAAGATTAAAAATACTTTGATATTGTTTTTAAAATGAAAACCAAAAGGAAGAAAATGTAAATGTTAAACCGTGCCAGATTACTGAGGTCTTTTTAATAATTATTACCTTTTTCGAAGTGGTTTGAAACTAATAATAAAGCTTACCTAAATGTACTGCAAAATTTTTAAAAAGTCTCTTACTGGCTACAAGTCAGAAAATCTATTATTCCTTTATACTAGCATGTTGAATCTCAAACTGTTAGATTTAACAAATCCCTTATTTCTTCTTCTTTACAACCTATTACTGAATTAATTAGGAGTTCTCAGTACTTATTCAGCACAGTACTTACACATGTTCCCAACTTCACACTCCCAAGACAACCCAAATCCTTATCTGGCTTCACTGACTTTATTGTAAGTTAAGTTAAGCAGAAGTTTATGACTGAATAAGCACTCTGGTATTTTGTTGAAACAGGAACTTGACTTCTGCAGATAAGAAGGAGTCCCTCTGACTTCTTCTGTTTACATGTGCTCAGTTTTATTAGGTCACAGTTATATGCCTTTAGCATAATAGGGATAACAGTCATTTGAGTTTCAGACCTATCATTTTGTCAAGTCATGACTCAAGAATAGTGCATGTGGAGAGGAAGATGGAAAGAAGTGTAGTATGAATCAAATTCTTAATATACAACTACAGAATAACAAGATTAGCATATTTTCAATTATTATTACCACAGCCATTTGTAGAGAAGATTAAGTGGATCAGAAGAATTAATCTTTGAAAGTATAGATGTACTAATTTCAGCCATTGAATAATGGTAGCAAATATTGATACTGATTACCTTTGTGCTATGGGAGTTAAAAATCTACCTACAAAGTCTGGAATACAACTCTAGGTTTGGAAATATCTGTTAATCAAATGACATACTATGGATTTCAATGGTTTGCTCATGCTGCTTTAGCAATATATCTTAGTCATGACTTGGCAATTCAATGATCATGAAGCCTTTGATCTCTCTCCTGACCAGCTAGACAGTATCAGCCAAAAGACAGTGGGAGAAAGACTGTTTCAATGCAGTGGATATTCTTTCAAGCCAAACTGAGAAGTCACCAGCTCTATTTCTGCAGACTTTTATTTTTGTTGCAATTAATTAAATAGAGGGCAAATTCAATGACCTAAAGTCAGAAGGATATTTATCACATAGTAATAATTCCTTGGGTCAGTTAACACGCTGTAGGTTATTTATTCTCCAACTGTGTCACAAAAATGAGTCAGTGCTGGTTAACCAGAAAATATTTTTTCCTGTTAATCAGTGATGTAATTTTCAAAGTGGAAGGTAGCAGTAAAAGAGAAACAAAGTAAAAATGAAAAGCAAAAATAAAATCTTTACCCTAATAAAAAGGATCTTCTCTCCAACTCTGTATCTTCCCTGTGAAAGACGCTCCACGCAGAACTTATTAGGGCATTTACAAGGTGGATCTTCAGAAATGTGTTTAACCTATAAAACAAGTTATTAATAGGAACTGTTTAAAATAGCATGGATAGCAAAACATTCAATAAGACACTTGTCATAATTAAAGTCTAAATTTATGATATTTTTTTTGGTTTTGCTTAACATTTCTGTAACCCCAGAAAGCCTCCTATGGTGCTTCCAATAGCAATTATTGAGTAGTTGAGTTTAAAATGTTACATAATTCAGCATCAAATTTGCACTCTTTATCTGAATTCAAGCAGCCTGTTACATGGAGTTCAGCACTAAACTTTTGTAACTCTATTCTCAGTATTTTATGATTAATCAGCTCAAAGTGCTAATACAGCTAACAGGCAAAATGAAGATGTCATAAGATGTGTCCTACCTTCTAAATATATATAAATATAGAGGTATCTTCCTTACCAGTAAGAGGCTCTGCCTCTTTAAAACTGTGCACAAACACCTTAGGAAAAAAGCATACAGAAAATACTGTGACATCATTAAAAATTAATGCCAAGACACTCCTCAGTAGTTTCAACTGCCCTTTGATGTGCTCCTTGTTAGGGCTAGTTCAATTGAAGTTAATTTAAAGGGACCTCAATAGCACTATCATTGCCAAACCTAACTACATAACCCCAAAAAATAAGGGCTGAGAAAAAACAGATGAAAACCACTTTCCTGCATGTTATTAGTTGCATCAGCTTGACTTTGGCCTCCTTGCTCTGGCATGTGCTACCAAAGACTGATGTTTAGTAAAAGTACATTTTGTACTCTCCGGTGATGGGAAAGTAGCAAAGGCATCAATATCAAAAGAGCAGATCTGGCTGTGAAACTCTTCCTTGACATTCAAATTGCACTTCTGCATAGGAGCAGCAAGAATAAGTGCAGCATTTTCATACGCTGTGGTACACTTGGACAAAATTTGTAGCTTGTATGTCAGCATCAAACGATGCAAAATGCCAGAGGAACTTGCAGATGTTTGTCCATTTCAAACAATATTCCAAAGACATTTTCATATCCAGTTTGTAAACCAAGGCCTGTAACAATAGTCTGAGGCCCAGGAAAGGATATTGTCTAAACAGCTAAACAGCTAACAAATTAAAGTCTTAAATTGTTCCATAAAAAGAAAAAATGCTTGGCCAAAGATATAGCACTTTAATGAGTGTTTTGTTTATCATGAACAGATAAGGCTTCTGAAGTACAAACGTTTTCCAGATCTGCTTTAAGAATTAAGTTATAGTTTGTTAAATAAGCCAAAACAAACTTAGAAGGCAACCAATTATTGTTTCTATACTTTTGAAACTAGCCCTGTTGAGTGATTTAATGGCTTTCCAATTATTTCTGAAATGGTTCAATGCCTTTATCTGAATAACTTCATCACCCTGTGGAGAGTGTTTTATAAGTATTCTTAAGACTTACTTATTTTTAATCAGGGCATTATATTTTTATGAAGAAGAGTAACTAAAATCAATTTAACAGAGGAACTCTACATGCATTTTACACACAAAAAGTATTTCTCAAGTATCAGATGAGATGTCCTCATTTTGAATGCATCAGGTTTTTAATTTTAAAATCAGTTACTCAAATTATTTTTATCAACATGGATGAGACTTAGCCTCCATTTCTGGTGAATAAACTATTTAGATAGTTAATCAGTGGCTAATGACTTAAATCCAAGTGCAGGTTGCTGAGGATGAGAAAAGTGTATTCCTGTATTTCTTGGAAGGTGGTACCAAGACTGGAATCATGCCTAGGAAGCCTTTTCAACGGCCCTCTGAAAACTGTTAAATAATGAGGGATTCCTGACATAATATCCTATGGCACTATCACCCTGATAGCTGAAAATGGGTAGTAGGAACTTAATGCTTCGTCCACTAGAGTTCATACAAGGACTCAAAAACCCAGAGTAACTGGGCCTAACAAGTTCAAAGTTGTTTTGAGCTGTGTAAGCAAAACAGACCCATCTTCTGCCTGTGAAGAGTGAAAGGCAATAGATCTATTCTGGTGTAAAAGAGAGGATAATAAGATCCTCACTGCTGATCCTGCTGGTGCGAGTTCCATTGCCTGACTGTCCCAAAGGACACAGAAGTATTGAGTGGAATTTGGAAATCAAATAAGGAAGCAGGGGGAGGAATTATATTCTATTTTATTTTAAGTCTGGACTATATGAGAAACTGCTGCTATTTTATGGTGTGAGTGTCTGGGGCAGTGCAGGTCAGGGCTCTAGCTGGATGAATTCCATTCTGTTTCTACCCGTGCTGCTTTCTAAATTAAAGGAGGTGGTTAGAGAAAACCTACATTCTCTCTGTTCAATTTCTACAAGATATGCAGCCACCAGCCTCCTTCTACATATAACTGTTCTTTCTCAATTCTTTTGAAACACAAGTGCTTTTGCAAAGTTAAAGAAGAAATACAAACCAGAAAATTTTAAATGTAATTACAGTCATCGAATAAAAAAAGTGTTTCAATAAAATGAAGGAACATTATATTCCATCTGCTCTTTGTAACAGGAAAGTGGCACATGGATTTTTCAAGAAGTGCTTTGTAACTCCCAGGTGGCACATCTACCTTGCAATGTAGTAGTTACTATGGTAACTGCTTCTTTTTACAGGCTAGATTTGTACTTTTCCAGTTTAACCTCTTCATGGCCTCAAAATGTGTCCTTTTCATCTGATTCCAGCTATTTCAAATGAACCCCTGTGGGTTTGCACCAGAAACATGAACAGTCAATATGCTGCAGCAAGTTTAATGAAATTCAAAGCAAGATTCTAACAATGAGGAAAACAATGCTTGTTTTTTTTACTAAGTGAGAATCATGTAGAACAGCATAAAAATTAGGCTGAAATATCTCAGAAGTGTTTGTTAACATTCACTACAAGTCAGTATGAGACAAATCTTGTCCTGACTCAGTCCTTCCTCAGACAAAGCACCAAGTGGGAGTTGGTGAATAAGGAGTAAAAGTAATAATAAGAAAATGTGGCCCTAAGCACAAAGCTAGGCTAAGCTGCAGAACTCCTACACAGTGTGACTTTTTTTTCCCCCCTAAAGCTTCAGACATAAATAATTGTGGTCAAAAACCAAATAATTCTATAAGTCTACAAATGTTTAAAATAGAGTGAGATGTTAAACTTAGGCTTGTGTGTGTTTTTCAAGTAAGCACATATCAGAATCAATAAAATAGGAAGAAGTTTCCTCCCACAACTTACAGCATCATCCAACAGTTTTCCTGTGCTCTTTTTCCCAGGAGACTTTGTGGGTGATGGTGAAGGAGATGGAAGGGGAGCTGAAAGTGTTTCCTCCTGTTCAATCTCTTTTTCCAATTTTATTAATCCAGGAGGTTCAACCCCACACCTTTTAGAAACACGCAAATAATAAATTACTAGTCCGTATAAAGTATTATATAGTTTAAAACAAAACAGTGGAAAGAATTTCTACTTTGTGTGCAATAACAGAATGATAAACACATTAATAAACATGTTTAAAATACACCAACCCATATTGCCATAATTTCAAATTAACAGAAAAAAATTAGATGCAGTTTCTCAGTTAATCAAATTTACAGGAAATACAGGTACTTTTTCAGCTTCTCTGTCTGATATCATATATGCTGGTGAATAATTTATGAACAACACTAGACCTCACAGAATCAAGTTCAGTACATTTGCACTTTTTTCTATTTTATTTTTTTCTTTCCAAACAGCATCTTTTCAAATTACTTAACAACTAATATTTCATGTTAGTATTTTCTGAAGAAATACAAATGCAAAGGGATTAAGGGTTTTCCTGGTTTCAGCTACTGCACTGAATTTATAGATAAGTAAACTGAGACATGGCCATTACTCTTCAGAAGTGGTTAGTGTTTCTACTAATTCATTTTTGACAGCCAGTCTTCAGATCTCTGTTTACAGTGGCAACACACCTGTAGCTCCAGCTAGAACAAAATACATGCAACTTCATCATGGATAAACTCAAACCAGAGCACTTGAAGAGCCAGACTCTTTTTGAAAGATCTTCTGAAAGCTTTATGGCAAGTGATTGAGTCAGTGTCTCACAGCAAGCAGCAGAGCTTGGACACAACTCAAAAGCTTAAAAGTGCATCCCATTTTCCTAATTACCGATAAGCCCCTTCTGTTTTTTTATCTGCCAACACTGAACAAACCCCAGAAAAACATCCAGAGTTCCCTTTTCAGAGAATGACTTCAGCTTGGAAAAGTTATCATGCCAGGTAGACCTCTCATAGCAAACTACTTGCACAATTGAAATTATATTTTTTTCTGTAGCAGAAAAGTCCACAGTGTAGATACAGAACTATACTGACTTACCTAGGTAAGACCTGGACACTAAAATATTGAGCAGTAACAAATACATATCATGAAAATTAAAGGTAAATACCATAATGATCTTAGAAGGGTACAGAGAAAAGATATAAGCACACATATTAGCTTTTGTGTTTTCTGATAATGTTTAATTTAGTCATACTACTGCCTAGTAAATTAATAGAAAGCAAACCAAGAACCAAATCTGTGCTTGTATTGGCTTCTAACTGGTGCAGTCTGCATAATGAAAAGTCAGCCAACATTGAAGCAAGCACTTATACACAACCTATTTACTTCCTGTCTGCCTGCAGATGCTGACAGGCTGTAAATTATGTAATTCCCACTGGGCTCTAAGCCTACTCCTGCATACAGCCTTACTCATCAAATAAAACTCTTCCACTGTAAGAAATGTTGCTTCATTGCTTCTACTACTTTTCATAGTTTCTAAATTTTGTCTTTGTGACAGACTTTTAAAGTTCCCTGTACTTCCAGTACTCTGAATTCCTCTGACGAACAGCTGAAAAATAAAATCAGCAATCAAACAAACACACACGCTTTTTTCCCCCCAATGCTGTATGAACCCAAAGCAAAGTTGCTGGAAAGCTGAAATTGTAAAAAGCCACATCTTTTCTGAGAGGGGCAGAGGTGCAAATTCTGGGAAGGTATGCTGAGCATTTCCTTTTCTGCTTCTTTCTAGCCTGGCTTCTCACAGCTACGCATGAAGCAGCACTGGACTGTAACATGATCTCTGTTAGACTTCTTAGACCACTTTCCATTTTTATCAAGGTAAAATTGAATACAATAGCAGAAAGACATTGAAACTGCTCAACAGTAATCCAAAAGACCTGTGAGAGTTGTTTAACCCTGTAAGAGTCTAACAGTAACTGAGGACCTTCATTCTTTGTGCAGAAAAACTAATTTAGCTGTTTTCCATTGCATAATCACTGACTTTCAGATACTTCGGAGAATGCTGGACCTGTGTAACCGACTGCAATTGTCCTGTGCATTTTCAGAGGTCAATTCCACCCTGTAGGACACTTTCTTCTCTCATAAATTTCACTGTATTGACATAACATCTGCCAGTGACACAAGGCCTCATTTTAACTACTGAAGTGTTGCAGACGATCTCAGAATGCTGTTTTCATAAAGAGATGAAATTCAGGATAATTTCTCAGGCAATTGTATTTTTATTAATATCTTTGAACTGCCACTCTTTGAGCCAAGTGGCACACCAGTTTCCCACTCAATGTGCAGTCCATTCATCAAGACCATCTGTCCCTAATTTGTCTAAGAGGACACTATGAGATAACGTGCTAAAAGCATTACCAAAGCAAAGGTGAATGATCACCTGTCTCCCTTCCTCCAGAGAGTATCTGCTGAATACCAGTTCAAGTTCAGCAGAACAGAGCTCAGTTTAACTCCTCCTCAAGCAATCCTCATTCTGCTACACTTGTGCCCCAATCACAAGTCCATTTGCATAAAATAAAAAAGCTTAGGTTGACTTTTGGGCTTTACAGACCTGAAGACTAACAGTAATCTAGCTGGGCAAAGTGGGCCAAAAGCTGAGCCCTTGTGATGAGTTTGAACATATCATTCTGCTTCTAAAATTACTCAGTGTCTCTTACACTTTTTGTTCTTTAAAAACAGACTGAGGCACCTTTTCAAAGTGCTTTTTCTGCAGCTCCTGTTCAGGAAAGCAGATCCCTAAGACTGCAAACAGACCCGGTTTGCTCTACAAAGCACACATCTGTCTTCTCCCTTGTTTAAAGCAGCACAGGAACCTCACTTTAATGTGCTCTTTCCTACACTTAAAGAAGGCAATTATCAATTCTCCTTTCCCATACAGTTCTAGTTTACCACAGCACAGGCAAATGGGCATCATATATTTAGTTTTCAGTTATATTAACCTGACATTTCAGTTCTGTTTTTGTGTACCTTGGAAGCACACAAGATTATAAATGGGGATTTGTTTGTTTTGAAGAGATACTAGTGGGGGAACGTAGACAGATATGTTGTTTGACCCTAAGCTAGAAATAAAATTAAAATAAAGAAACATAAATAACAGAAATGGAAACACAATATATAAAATAATCATTAATGATATATGGTAATATTCATGCATTATAAATAAAAAATACAATACAAATATTTTAAGGGTAAAGGGATAGATATGCATAATAAATGAAAGCATGGGTTATTTATTTCTTCAGTACTTCTTTTCATGTCTGGAACAGAAAGCATCCGAGACATGGAAGCTTAAGACAAATATAAAGGATAAGATTCTATTTTCATTCCCTTGTAGACCTATTGAGTCATCAAATCTCACTGCAAAATGAGATTAATCTAACTCAACCAACTTTAGCAGAGTCTGGCACTGCCTAACCACACCCATGCATTACCTGAGGAAGCTGGATACTATAGAGTGACCAGCTGGGGCAGATACCCCTGACAGTTATGCCCCAGGCATAGGGGCTCTAGGTGCTGGTAGATCTATCTCCCAGCTGGTCTTGAAAGCACAGTTTATTTTCTCAGGTAAATTAAGATTCATTAAAATTATTTTGATTATTCATTTGCAGATCAAAATACTTTCTTCTTTGTGGGAAGTTAAAACAATTTGCCATTTGAACACAAGTTCTGGAGATAACAAAATAATTGAAAACCTGAAATCACTATTTTTTTTTGATCATTGCTGTTCCTATGCAAGCTTCCACTGACAGCAAGTGTTTTTCTGAAACTTGACCATGAGAAAAATTTCTAGTTTTCCATGTGAGTTCATTCACAAAATATGAACACACATGATGCAATTTTAACACAGCCAATACTAGTCCTTAAATTAATAATAAACAGGGGTCTCCCTCACCTTGATTGTTACCACAAGGAATTCTTCTGAAATTAATGAAGCTATTTGAATAGCAAGATACTTGCTATTTTACACACATTAATGAAGGCAACTGCAATTTACATGCAAGACTGGGTAGCAGTCCTGATGCTCATGTATTTTTCAGTAAATCTTATGCACTATGCTAGTTAAACCTACATCTGCAAAAAGGGGGAAAAAAATCACATTCTAGTTTCTGTAATTTTGATTGCTTAGCCAAAGTCTTTGTCTTGTTGTCAAAGATAACATTACAATGTACTGAAGTTCAGCACAGTTAAAATCATCTTGGTCAGATTTAGATCATGTGAAGATCATCTTATTATCAACAGACTTAATTAAATTGCAGTTATTTATAGAGACATCTGACTTTGGAATGAGAAACAGCTCAAAACTGTATAGAAAAAAATTCTCAAACCCTTCCTCTCCTAATAGAAGGATAGCCTACAAATATCTTCATTGAAGGACTGGTATTTTGTAGTATTTGTTAAGAACTGGCTTCAAGTGTGACATCAAGACAAACATTCTATTTGAACCTAATGAGCACAAAACTTAGCTTGAGATGTGCTGACTTAATATGTCTGTCAATACCCCCGCTGTCAAGAATGCAAATATTTCAACAGTCTTTAAATATTTTCACCTACCTTGCTGCAATTCTTCCAAGTTCCAGCAAACAAAGGCACACTTCTCTTGGCTGCTTGTGGAGTACTAGAAAAGCAAAATGAAGATGGAAAACAATGATATATAAAAGCTATTTTAAAGATCTTAGTGATGGAATGGAACCTAATCATCAACGTCTGTTACTCTTGACTCTTATAAACATTTGTTTTCTTTGGCTTGCTGTAGAGTTTTATTGGAATAAAAAGGATGGGATTGATGAGTGGCTCTCAGAGTTCAGATAGTTCAGAAGCTCAATTTAATTATCTAAATCACTGAAAAATTATTTGGGGTAATTGGTAATCTGCAAGCAGTTAATAACTATTTAAAAATATTTAAGAGATCTGGCACAAAACTTTAATTAGTAGAAAGTCAAAAATAATAACATTAGAGCGATACATTTCTTTCTATAAACTAAGAGAATTCATATCCTTTAGATCACTATTTTTCTTAACCAAATTAATTTTAAAAAATAAAAAAGTTGCATTAACAAAGACGTACCTTACTATAAATTTGGTCCTGAATTTTTTTTCACATCTACTCTTAAAGTAAATATGAAACTAGAATGCTTTAGGAATCAGTTCTTCACAATATAAAAATACCGAACAGACAAAAAGAGTTTCTTCTTTACACATACTTATATATAATGCAAGTCTGCATGCCTGGATTCCACACAGAATAGGTTTTTTATGATTCAGAAGTAGCTGTGACACAGCATGATCATCTCATTATTGTGAGAGATTGAAATGTTAGGGATTATTGTCCCAACCATCCACTTGCAAAAGCAGCAGGGCTTTGCTGAGGCCAGGTTTGCACTCCTTATGGGAAAGAGAGGGGGAGAGTTTTTGGGTGTGTGGTGGTGCAATATCTCAGCTGTGTAAGAGCAGTTCCAGGCACAGAGGTGGTGTGAACTCACCACCAGAGGATGACCACGACAAACCAAATTCTGTTTAGCAACAAACTGGGTTTTGAGCCAAATAAGGGAAAATACTCATAAGAAGCAGATTCTGCAAAGTGGAATAGTGCTTTTTATCATGGCAATGTCCTACCTGACATAACTGGCTGAGGTGTTAACTCCCCTCTGTGGAAGGTATTGGGACAGTCACATACATCACTTCTGATGGGGCAAAAGTGGCTCAGCTACGCTGATGTGACAGCCACCTGTCATGCTTTAGGTGTCACAAACCATCAGAGTCCTCCAAAACATGCTCAGACACTTTCTGAGGCTTTCCACAAGAGGACTGCACCTGATCCACAGTGCTGGATCAGACTGTGCAACACCCTCGTGATGCTGCAGAGCCAGGGACAGGCGAAATGACTCGCACCATTTTAGAAGGCCAAATGAGTGTTTATTCAAAAGTACTTCTCTCTTCTACAGAGAATATTGTGAACATTAATTTTATTGGTTTTAAAGTAAAAACATTTTGTTTGATTGGTACACTGGACTTAGGTCAGTGTGGTAGAACATATCTATAAACAATATGAACGGAAAGCAAGGTAATAGATTGTTTACATTTTTCTTGGAGATTTTCCCAGGCTTAGCCTGGCAGAAATCTTTCTCTTTTTCTCTCTGACTGAACTGAGAATATCTACACCCTCGCCTCAGGGGTGGTATCCTGGGTGTTGTCACTTGACCCTGACTGTATTTTAACCCACTGAACCTGGTGTTTCATGGGCTTACCCCACCCTCAACAGATCAAGACTGTGGCCATCACTTTAAACAAGAGATATTGCAATTGCAACAATTAACTCACTTCACTCTGTTCTTATCCTTTCTCTCTTTTCCCTCTGTATTTGCTTAAGTGGTATCTTCTTACTTTGCTGTATTTCTATAGATGATAATAGCCAAAATGGTTACATACCTCCTTTCCATTGCAACCAAACTGATCTAAATAAACCTTCCAGATATATTAGCCACTCAAGTGTGGTTTCACTCTCACCTGCCTCTTCTTCTATTAGCAAGAACCTCAGCTACCCTTGCCTTCAGAGGACAGTTATAACAATTATGAAACACCACCACAAACCAATATATTTTTTCCTCCATGATTCAGAATAGGTAATGTTCTGTAAAGAAATTCAGCAAAGCATATAAGCAAAATACTAAATTAATAACTCAAGAATGGTCTGTGGCTGTTTCTATAATCAATTCCCTAAAACCTCAAGAACAAGAAAGGAAAAATAGAAGAAAAGAGAAAATAGTAATTATGAGTACATTATCATCTACTCTTCAGAAATACCTACTAAAGTAAAGCCCTCATGTTATTTTAAGTAAAAATCGGGTTTTAAGAAATTCCACAATATTAAAAAAAAAGTGCACATTACACTTCAGATGGAATTGAGACTAAAAAGTAATTGTGTGACTTTTTGTATAAATCAGAAAAAACCTGAACAACATCAAAAGATATTTGTTTTTAATGAGTTAAGGTCCAGACATCAGCTACATAAACTTTTGGTAATCTAAAGACTCACCTAATTTAAATGCATGAGGAAAAAATACCATACCTGAAAAAGATATTTTAAAGTCTACTTAAAGCCCTGAAAGCAATTACTCTGTTCTATGCATGGGTGAGACACAAAGGGACTGGAAAATCTCCAGGTAAGCAACACCCCAAGGCAGAACTCCAGCCTCTGTGCCTTCAACTTGCAGCTCCAGGGATAGGAACAAGTGTAAGTGGTGTGAGCTGAATGATACTTTTATCTCTTCCCAGTGTCTATGTAGCCCTTTGGGAGGTGTGCATTTGTCCTCTAATCTCATCCAAATACATTTCCAGAAATGAAACTGCAGAGCATGAAAACTAAACAGGCAGTGCACTAGGAAAAATATACTTATTCTTCAGCCATCTGTTACTAAGAATATAAATGATGAACACTTGGATATTCAGCTATTTTCAATATTCTTCCTTCCCACAACATAGTAATTACATTAAATATTTACCTTTACTAGTAATCAGTATTTTTAAAGTGTTACATTCATGACCCTAGAAGTGTATTCTGTTATTTTGGTTTTAAACCGGTTTTGACAGTCCCAAAATAAAACTTGATTTTAAGAAGTAAGGCATACTCCAAAATATAAATGGAATAAAGTGGGTTTGGAATAGTCAAACCAAGTAAATTGCAATTCATACATATGTACATCTGCATGACTCTGGAATGGAAGAAAAAGAGAGGTTCAACTACCACTATTTGCAAAAAGATCTATAAATATATCTAGAAGAAAATTTGATTATCTATCCAAACAAAATTCATAGACCTTTAGCGAGTCTGACTCAACATAATCTAGACACATTTCATGCATTTCACACTGAACAATGTGGCAGAGTGACGTCATTGTTAGAGGATGAAGATGTGTGCAGGCAATAACCAACCACAAAAACAAACATCAGGTCATCTCATAAGACAGTGCTTCTGATGAGAAAATACCAGCATTCCTGAGGACTATACAGCATATGTATTTGGGGACTTCAGAGACCAATAAATATTATTTTATGCAGATCCCCTGCATAAAATGAATGGAAATATCCATCTTTCTATAGACTCTCACTGGTGGGATTTGCTTGACAAGAATGCAATGGGAAGACAGAGAAATAATGCAAACAAGTCTGGCTTATTTTAGGTGTCCTGCCTTTTCACTTTTCATCTCATCCCTTTAAATGCTTCTTACTTGCTTGTTCTCATTGCCTGCATCTTTGCATGCTACCTCCAGCCACTCTTTGTAAACAATAATTCCTTTTTAGTTCCTGGAAGTTTTTATCCTTGCTTCTCTCTGGCAATGACATTTCTTCACACTGCTCCCATCTTATTGCCATCCCATTCTCTTTTTACAAGTATTCCTCTTTTGTTCACTCAACCTTTGTGCTTCCTCAGAGGTCCTTACCTCAGTGCCTGGATGCAGAGGAGAAGCAGAGGAGGAGCAGCCTCTGCTTTCAGCATTATTAGAGCCTGTGACTGTCAGGAGACAGAACACACAATGCGCATGCAGTCCACGTGTTTACTGAACAGGTTTAAACTGAAAGTTCACAATAACATTCAGGTTTTTTGTTTTGTTTGTAGTTTTGTGTTTGTTTTAAATTAGTAGAATCACAATACAGAAATAAACTTCTCACAACTTCCCCTGCCAAGTTTCAAATCTTGGCTCCTAACACTTTTATAAACCATTTTTAATGAAGTCAGTCTTCCTTCTAATATAAACTTTTTTTTTTGCTTTAAAGATTAAGGTATCAGGCATAGCTGAATCATAAAAAGTAAATAAGATTTCTGTTTCTAACGCATTTCTTATCCCACTAGAAGCAAAGAGTTTTACCAAGTGCCTTAGTATTTATTATCACAGGTTTCCAATTGCCATCAGAACTCATACTAGTTTAGGGAAAGTTTTCCAAAAGGATGGTCTTTTGATCCTTCTTCCTATTGTCTCTCACATTTTCCTTTAAGTTTTATTCTGATCTTAGAGAATATTTTTTGTTCTTAAAAAAAACCCCAATATTGTTTTGTCAACACTCTGTTAACCTATAACAAACTTACCCTTGCTTTTGCATCAGAGCTATGCTATGATACACTCGTGCTTCCTCTACAGTCCCTGCCCCATTCAGATCAATCTCTTATGGAAACCTCGAAAGAATTAAGGTGTCAAACACACTAGATCTAAGGATAGTAAAGAATTAATGTAGAAGGGATACATAGTCATCTGAACACTCATCATTTACTGAAATTCAGTAGTTTAACATGCAAATCCATGGTAACAACAAAGAGTCTAGGATGCTTCTATAGTCCTCAAAATGAGATGTATTCAGTAATATTATGAGTAGTTTAGTAAAGAACTGTGAAAGATGGGACAAAATCTTGTTCTGATGCAACTTCAAGTAACTTTTAACATGGTGTTACAATATGTAGATGCTTCAGTATAAAAGAACAGAAAAAACTTGCATCTTGAAATCAGATAAACTACAGTAATAATTTAAAAAATAATCTTCCCTATGTATAAAATATTTTTAAGCAAGCAACATTTGAGTATTTTTTAAAATAACCTTTAAACCAACAATGTTAGAAGAGAGATCAGAGGTGTTTGTGTTTCAGTTTACTATTTCCACTAAAATACGAAATGCATTTATTTAGGAAACCTGTCCATGAAACTCAAATCAATTAGTTGCATCAAAAGAAGTCCATGTCACATACTGTGTGTAGAGGTGCATAGAATATACAAGCACAAAACATGAACCATCAAGAGCATCCAACACCTCCCAAAGCAGATGACATATCAGCATGCTGGCACACTCAGTGGCAAACCCTTTTCTTGCCGGGTAGACTTTATCATGGAAGAGCTGCAGAATATTCATTGGTTCCAAATCCTACAATCATCCAACAACACTCTATTACTACAAAGAGGTCAGAACTTACGCTTTATGTTCACTGAACTAAAGCAACCATAGAAAATCTTACCATGCTTATTTGTCCAATAAGAGTTTTCTTTGAGTATTATACTCTTCAGGCATGAGCAAAATTACAAATATCTCCACCTAGTATGCTTCCATAAATAAAATTACCAGAGCTGTGGGGATTTGCTGTCCTAAAGCCTACAGGGGCTATTCCCTACAGGGGGATTTACCAAGTATATTTATGGGAGTTAACAGGAGTTAAAGGCAGTATTAATATCCTCACACTGCATGAGAGAGTTGGCACATCATGTTCAGTCCCACATAATCTGATACATCTAAGATGACTATTCAATGACACTGTACCTCAAGATTTGCACGGATGATCAAAATTTGGATTTTGGATCATAATTTTTGGTATTAACAAAGCTAATTCCTTCTCCTTTAAACACACTAAGTTTAAAAGTAAAAAATATGACAAGCATGCTAAATTTGGCAATGAGCGCAGGGAGCACAGATGGTGTCCCTCTATTTTGCAGCACTCGAAATTATCACTAGGTACTGTGTTGCTATAATTTTTACAGAGGTTCACGTGTGAGCTGTGGCTCATACATCAGGTATCCCAGCCACCTTTTCTTTGCAAAGGCATTAACTTGTAGACTTTCCTGCCATGTCTCTGCATTTAGAGATAAATTGCTACAAGTCAGCTCTGACTGTACTACAAATCTTAACAAGAAACTCTGTTCCCAATTTGTTTGCATTGTAACCTATGTTAAAGCATGATAACATTCAGCAAGACAAACTACATCATATTATAGATTGCCAACAAATTAGCAGTAGAAGTCTTCAAAATTTTGACCTTTCTCTTCCAATGATTTTTAAAGTAACTAGTGATTAGATAGTATAATCATATCTACTAGTATATCAAGCACCTCTATTTTTCATTTATTTACTTTTCCTTCTATTTATTTTGAAGACCTCAATCTTGTTTCCTCGTTTAGCTCAGCTGAATAGTCCAAATCCAACAAAGCATTTGAAACTGTGCTTAAATTTAAATAATTACATAAATTGCTAAATTAGTCCACAAGTGAAGGACAAGAATAAAGCTACCTGAATAGGTCTGCTCACCTGCTTGTGTGGATCAGCCCTGAAATGTTAACCCTTTGCAGAAGCAAGCCTCTAAGAATACTGAGGCTTCCCACCAACATCACTTACCTCCATGCTCACCAGGCATGGACTGCCCCTATCTGCCCTGGTCTTTGTTTGAGACAGCTCCATTCCAGTGAGGAATACCTTTGTATCACTTGAATCCCAGTGCTAAAACGTTAGGAGTGATGGATGCATCTGTGTGCAGCTATACTTGCATGATTTCAAAGACTTCAGAACTTATAACATGAGATAATATTTTAAGTAATGAGAAACAATAACAATTAACAATTTCTTAGCCAGTATAGACATTTTTGCTTTTGCTGATCTCAAATATACTTGGTAATTTCTTTTTTTAAACAGTGCCATAATTCCATCATTCAAGTATTTCAGTGCACTAGATCTTCAATATCACTCTTATAATTCTAGAATGTGTATTTGCCAGAAAAAGACCTCAGAATGTTTTATATGATGCAGTTGCATGATGAAAATATTACTATGTACCTTTAATTAAATAACACAGTATTTGCATACCATAAAGCACACAGAATAGGAGTAAAACAATGAGGATAAAAATCCACTCAATTGAAAAATTGATACAATAAGGTTCTCCAATGCAGACAGAAAAAACTCGCTTTATCACTAACAATTTAAACACCAATTTACTGAGTTTATTAGCCATGAGGAAAAACAGAAGAAAATATAAAAACCAGTTACCACTGTAACCATAATTTCACCACAATTAATAATATAAAATGCAGAATTCAATGAGGTAGTGCAAATACAGATGCCATTCACACACATTTCTCACGACTTTGAAAAGAACCTTTGATATTACTTACCTTTGCTGAATTTTTGCTTCCTATGCATTGGTGATTTGTGGGAGAAAGAGGAACATAAAAGCTTTAGATTGGCAACTGTTAAGATTTATCATTATTCCTAATGTATTAGGAAAATCTCAAAAAAGCAAAATTTTGAATTAATGACTAAACTGAAGGAGAATAATAGCTACTTGGTTTTATCTTTTTTTTTTTTTTAAGGCATGATTACCACCTCCTTCTCAAGTTCAGAAAAATGGGTCAAAAATGTTATCAAGTCCTAATCTTATTTCAAACAACATAAATCTTTTCTATTAGTACATTATACCATAAGGGAAAAAAATCTCAGAACCTAGTTTTTTATCAGTGAAGAAAATCATTCACTAGTCAAACAAAATAGAGTACAGGTTTGCACAGTCAGTCATATTTCCCTTCAGTTTTCTGAGAGAGGAAGTCCTCTGGAACACACCTTTTTTGTTGTGTTTGCACTCTGTTTTACTATGGTAGGCAAGGCACTGTGTACGTCTGCAAATGAACTATCAGGAAATATCAGTATTCCAGCTATGGCAATTCCATCTCTAAACAAGATCTAGTTTCTTAAAAATGCACAACAGATTTGTGGAACACTGGCAAACGACTGGGCTTACCCAGCAATACAAACTTCTAATACCTTGAAGTATTCTGTTAACCAGAGGTGGTTCTGCCCATCTCAGGCATTGGAGGTCTGCATCTCCCGGTGTTTACAAGATTCTTGGTAAATGTCCAACTTATTCACCATTTCAAATCATTGAAACTACAATTATTGTTTGCCTTCCACATGATTTACCATATAAAATAAGAATTTTATCTTAAAGATTTAATTAACAAATCAGAGTCAATACATATATTCAACTTACTATTTGTCACCTTTGAGATACTAATCTGTGCTCTGCCAAGCATTTTCTCCCAGACATATAAAATAACGTGATTAAAAAACTTCCCAGGATAAAAAAACAGACAAATGAAAAAGAAAAACTCTCAGAAATATTTGTGCTGGACTACAGAAGCAGAACAAGACTGTAAAAGAATGGGATCAGTCACAAGTAAGAGCTTCAACAGGCTTTTTGAGCAACAGAACAAAGAAGCCTCAGCATAGTGTGTTCATTTGTCTTCCTTAGAAATTGATCTGTCACTATGCCTGCTTTACACTTTTATCTGATTGCAGATAACAAACATTGCATTCTCTTCATTTCATGAGATTTGGCTGAAAAACTGTGATGTCAAGATTCCTAAGACTTCCTTCGAAGAAAGAAAAGTTAAAACAACACAGACTGTGTAGTATTATAACAGTGATTTTCTGAGCAGTACAAGTCTTTTCATGAAACACTGTGAAGCAGTAGTATTGGATAATTTTTGTCCAGAACTGCACAAGGGAACCAGCTGGAAAAAAGGGTCAGCATGGGAAACAGAAAAATTTTGTATCATCTTGGCTCCTGTGGAATTCATTAAATCTCCACAACTAGCCAAATGTCTGCAGACAGAACTGTGCATGCACTTGGATCCTACTCTCCCAAAAAAGAAAAGCACCATCTTATCCCACTGAACTAAGGAACAGCATTCCATGCTCAGAAAAATATGTGTAGGGTGGAAAATAATTTGTGTGCAAGAAAACATAGCAAGAGTTTTCTCTCATTTAAGTTCCTCTTAAAATTGACTTAAATGAGTAGTATGTGATGTGAACTTTATTTGTTCGTTCTATGGACATGCAGCAGAACTAACACAGTCATACAAAGGTCAGATTTAGAGTTAGGACCTATTAAAAGTCTTCCTGTCTTTCAAGGCTAAACACAAAGAAAAACTTATTTTAAATTACTAACTATTACACAACGAATAAAGAAATACATACCCAAACCTTCTGATTCAAACAGGCAGGTATCATCCACACCTACATCTCTGCACCAGGCTAAGAAATTTGCTGTGTTGTCCCGTGCAAAAAAAGACCCTGAAGGAGCATTGGCTTTGCATGGAATTTTCCGAACTGGTAAGGCCTGAAAAACAGGAATTCTTTATTTAGCTAAATTATATATGCTATCATAATACTTAAGTATTATGAAATCACTACACAAGTTTTGCATAGATGGGTAACTCCCACCAACTTATTTCCTTGGCCATTAAAAAATTCAGAGTAAAGAAGCATGAGAAGTGAATTTAACAGCATGAAGTTCTTAACTAAAAATTATTTCCAAAAGTCCACACACTGAAGTTGAGAGCTGAACCAATATTAGTTACTTCTTAGGAATATTAATAACTACAGGCTTTGGATTTAGTGTTTGGTCTAGTTTGCTGAATTAAAAAAAAAAAAAATACTATAAAGACAGACTTTAAACTAGGAGCTGAACTTTCTCACAATTAAGGGTGAATTACTTTCAGTTCTATGTTAGGAGATAATCACAGTGTACAGGAATGGATCTTGAGGCCCAAAGACTACAGACACTTCAGAAAGGTCACTGTCTCCTGTTTAACAGCACCCAGAAGTCCCCAGTGCACAACACAGGCCTGTAAATCTAGCTGGGACAAAGTCAAAGTCTATAGAGACAGGTTCTCCCTGTACCAGAGTAGTTCCATTTACATGATTTCAGTATCAGAAAGGATGCTACTGATACAGCATCAATATCTGTATCAAACAGAGTAATTACCACAACAATCCTACTGCCTGTATTGGTAGGTTTACTGAGACACATAAAAAGTAAGTCCTTAGCATTTAGTTCTCAATTAAGGCTTTTTTTCCTCAAATAAAAAATAGCTGTACTACATGGCCAAGTGAAGGCAGAAAACAAAACATTGCTATGTAACTTTAAGGATCCCTAAATCATGGAGGAATTCAGACCTTATGTTGATTTGAATGCACTGTTTTACCAATGCTAATGTATGAAATTTTTTCCTCTGTCTGGAGTCAGTAGTTACTCAACCAAAAGTGAGCTAAGAGGTAGCAAACTGTAAATATGGTTTCTCTACTCATTCCTAGCTTAAATTTAATGGAAATGGGGAGAGCGGGTGTAGGACACAGGAGTAGGCTTTCCCTTACAACAGCTTCTAGCAGTATAATAATATCAGTATTAAACACAGCTTAGTAGGAGTTTAAATATTATACATATTATACATGTGACAGCAGCAATGAAATGGCAGAATATGCCTACATGCACTGAGCTACTCACTGCTATCTACCCATAAGCCAAATAAACTGAAAATAGAACAACTGCAGGCTTAATCTGCATTGTACTTATCAGTATGTCAATGGAGACTAACAGATTGTCTCAGATATATCAATGTGTCTCAGAGATTTATGCAATTAAATCTATTCCTCAAATCACCATCTAGCTTTCATTCCCCCATGATTTTTATACAATTACTCAATATACATTTCCGTGTTTTGGAAAAATTAACTTATGGTTCAAGCTATTTGCAAGGACATATTATTTTTTCTATAATTTATATAAAACACCGACCAATTTTGCATGTTATTTTAAACAAAAAAAATCTTATCTTATGCCACAGATACCATATCACTTCCTGGGCCATCCTGGAACAAGGGGGGGAAAGCAAGAAGGAAGTAGGGAAGTAAAACCAACTCTTCTCTAATGCAGAATAAATGAAAAAAAGTACATTACATGAATTATTAAGGTATTTTCATTCCTTCAAGTCTTGCCGATTAATCTGTGGTTTTTAGTGTTTCAGTGGAATCAGAAACACTCAGTACTTTAACTCCATCTTGTCAGTAGGTGCAAAGAGGTGCCATTTCATAGCCCTCTATCAATCCAGTTCCATAAAACATCCACTGTACATACATCATACTTGATCATATTCTCACTGAAGCAAATTATCAGCAGCTCTAAATTGGTTTAACAACAATAAAATCAAACAGAATAAAATTCTTTATAAATTTTATAAATCTCTCCTTGGATCAGATTATCTGAAGCGGTACAGGGATGTTAACTGAGTTAACAGTCAACCTAAGGGGGCCAAATAAATGGTATCTGACACTACCATACTCTTTGTAATTTTTGATTTATTACGATAAATTAAAAGCACAAATTCTGGATCATCTATTATGGATGAACAGCACTGTGACAGGAACAAGATACCAAAAAGCCAGCTCCAGTACTCCTGGTACTTGCAGACTTATGCATAAGAACTTCAGAGAGCATAGAAAGGAGATAAGGGTACAGTTACTTTATGTGTGAGAGCAGACCTGCAGTGTCAGACCATGTCACCTGTCACTTCCCTCTTCAGTTCTCACCTCTGGATTTTTCCACAGTGTCCATGTTCTCAGGCTTGCCTTTGCAGAAAACTAGCGAGTCTCCTCCAAGAAAAAACCTTCTGTTTGTAATGGCAGGAACAGCACAGAAGAGCTAGTGACATCATACTGGGTTTGTTGCTTGCACACAGATCTGTACCTTTAAACTGCTTTGTGCTGAGACAACCACAATAAATAGCCTATATCCTTTCAAGTCCTGCTAAGGATACTGAACACTGTTCTGGAAGTCTGTAATAAACCACTTAGATAACCTTAGAACTAATGAACAACAGAAAACAACAAAAACAACTCCACCAAACCGTGAGAACCCCGGGCTTGGTCTGGCATCTCATGTGCTGGAAAAGTCTCCTCCAACCCGTGCTTCCAAAGAAAAACTCCGCAGGCTCTTGTTCCGTCTCAAGGCAGTTTATTGCAAGTTATCTAAAAGATTTTCTTCTGGAGCTGCTGTGGTTTGCTCACAGCTCAGGCAGAGGCACACACACACCCTGACATCCTCTCTGACTCCCGACTGCTTCTTCTCTCCCCGCCCAGGGCTGCTGCTGTCTTTTATATGAGATATTACGTATTACACGTTTACAGTTTTCCCCAATACCTACTACCTATATTACAAGGTGCTTTTCTACTCTAAACCAATCTGTGAGTGCCAGCATCACCAAGAACATGGAGGCAAGGAAGAAGAAGGAGAAAGAACAGGATCAGCCCACTTTCCTCCATCTTAGAACTTCTGACCCCCATGTACAAAGTAAAAACCCCCCTGTACAATACTAAGAAAATTTCCCCTCTGTTTTGTAACTACTTTTACTATACTATCTAACCCTTTGTGACTGCTTGTTACACCTTCAAAGCTGGTAACTCATTCCATGGCTCAAACTTAAAATCACAGCTGTTTCCAGCTGCCTGCCAGGATCTAAAACGCTTCTGACCAAGGCCTAGAACCTCCAAAAATGTCTGAGGGACATTTTGAGTTCCAAGACCAAACAAAAACCCAAAGTAAACAACACAAAAAAGAAATTGTTCTGTGTGACTGGTGGCTGCCATTTGGCATTCAGAGGAGGTGCAGGCTCAGTGGGGGCACAGCCCCTCTGCTCTCGGGGCCTGAGCCCAGCAGCTGGAAGAAGCCTCCAGCACTGCTGCTGAGAGCAGCACTGCAGTGTGACACTCCAGCAGTGCGACACTCCAGCAGTGCAGAGCAGATGGAGCAAGGATCCAGCATTGCTCCCAAGAGCAGCACTGCAGTGTGACACTCCAGCAGTGCAGAGCACCTGCAGCAAGGACCCAGCACTGCTCCCAAGAGCAGCACTGCAGCGTGACACTCCAGCAGCGCAGAGCAGCTGGAGCAAGGACCCAGCACTGCTGCTGAGAGCAGTACTGCAGCATGACACTCCAGCAGTGCAGAGCAGCTGGATCAAGGACCCAGCACTGCTGCTGAGAGCAGTACTGCAGCATGACACTCCAGCAGTGCAGAGCACCTGGAGCAAGGACCCAGCATTGCTCCCGAGAGCAGTACTGCAGTGTGACACTCCAGCAGTGCGACACTCCAGCAGTGCAGAGCAGCTGGAGCTAGAACCCAGCACTGCTGCTGAGAGCAGCACTGCAGTGTGACACTCCAGCAGTGCGACACTCCAGCAGTGCAGAGCACCTGGAGCAAGGACCCAGCACTGCTGCTGAGAGCAGTACTGCAGTGTGACACTCCAGCAGTGCAGAGCAGCTGGAGCTAGAACCCAGCACTGCTGCTGAGAGCAGTACTGCAGCGTGACACTCCAGCAGTGCAGAGCACCTGGAGCAAGGACCCAGCATTGCTCCCGAGAGCAGCACTGCAGTGTGACACTCCAGCAGTGCGACACTCCAGCAGTGCAGAGCAGCTGGAGCAAGGACCCAGCACTGCTCCAAGAGCAGCACTGCAGCGTGACACTCCAGCAGTGCAGAGCAGCTGGAGCAAGGACCCAGCATGGGGAACCTGCAGGGTCTCTCTTCCAGGAGCCATGGGGAAGGCATCGCAATGCCTGGCAGGAATGCAGCAACCCCAGCGACCCTTGGGTCCCTGCTGCTCCCCAGTGCTAACTACACATTCATAAATCTTCTTCCAAATATTCTGTATCTTTTGATTTATGTGTATTGCACTGACCGAACGTAGAATTTCTTTCAAGAAGAGCAATTCAGAACAGATGGTGTATGTGTCAGTAATCACCTGAAATTTCATACTTATAAATTACAATTCTTTGCCTGCCTTGACAACTAAGACTTTTAAACACATCATTTAACCTAGCTTCACTAGGAAGCTTAGACATTCATGGAACTTACAACATTACAATGTCTTTCAAAAGCACATTTTTGGTAGTAAGAGCTACTCACAGCAAATAGTAAGAGTCTAGGTACAGAACATCACACTTAACTAAACAAATCTGTGATATTCTTAATTTCAGAGTGACAGAAAAAATGTTTGATTAACATATGTCCTAAACAGCTCAGAAGTGACAAACAACCACATGTAAGAACAAGACATTGCTGTGAAAAACAGCTACATAATTTAAGGACCAAAAAGACCACAAAAGTTTTCAGTCATTTTCTGGAGCAAATACTACACAGAAAAATATCCCTGACATTGCACGATCTCACTAAAATATATAAAAGTTTCATCCCATTTCCCATAGTATTAGGGTCTTGCTGCAGAGAACACCCTCTCTTCTATTCAGTAATAGCCCTACCAGGTTTATCACACAAATTATATGGAAA